GACCTGTTTTCACGTTTCTGAGCCCTGGCAAGATACCTTTTCACAATGCTTTACTTTTACAAGGCCCGTGCTGCTCTATTTTTACAAGGCCTGAGGCCTATATCGGGTAAAGGCCCTTTTATGATGGTGACAACCGTCAATAATGTATGTTCTTTAGTGAAAAGGGGAAGAGTGCTTGTCATTATCGGGGTTGTCGAATGGTTGGGGCTGATCTGTGCCGTTTATTGAAAAGGAAATGTCTGGGCATGAATATAGTATAAATCCAACGATGCTATGCTTGTTATTGGGGGTTGCCAGATGGTCGACCAGCAGTCTTGATCTTGATCGGTGCTGTTTATTTAAAAAGGAGTTGTGCAGGCATCGGTAGAGTATATAATATAATATGCAATGATGCTTTCATCGCCACGTAAACATTGGTTGGTGTGGACTAGGTAACTGAGCAGCAAGAGTGCCGGAAGCTCTTTGACAGTTTTCCCTCTTTTCTGTTTGTTGGCAGCTGTCAAAGCAGGCGAAAAGGGAGTCATTGCCGCCCGAGCCTGTTGCAGATGAGCCTGGCAGAACCATGATCGGTGTTCGATTGCTAGACAGTAGTGTGCATGTCTGGGCATGAATATAGTATAAATCCAATGATGCTATGCTTGTCGTTATTGGGGTTGCCAGATGGTCGAGCAGCAGTCTTGAGCTTGATCGGTGCTGTTTATTTAAAAAGGAGTTGTGCAGGCATCGGCAGAGTATATAATATAATATGCAATGATGCTTTCATCGCCACGTAAACATTGGTTGGTGTGGACTAGGTAACTGAGCAGCAAGAGTGCCGGAAGCTCTTTGACAGTTTTCCCTCTTTTCTGTTTGTTGGCAGCTGTCAAAGCAGGCGAAAAGGGAGTCATTGCCGCCCGAGCCTGTTGCAGATGAGCCTGGCAGAACCATGATCGGTGTTCGATTGCTAGACAGTAGTGTGCATCGCCGCTCTTGGCATTGTAGTGCATACATCAATCAGCTCTACAACTGGGTGAGTTCACCTCTTCAGACCCTGAGAGGTCGGGATCCTGATTCAGATATCCAGACCGGGATGATTTTGAGTGGTGTGGGTAGAGGGGGGGATAGGGTGACTATCTGATGCCTCCAGTTTTTCAGCTTCTTCATGCCGCCTTTGTTTTTCCCCTAAATTTTGTTAACTCCTGGCACTCCTTGTGTTTTCCAAAAACTTTTCAAACTCCCAGCCCATGTTGTGCAACCGGCATGGTTTGGGTTTATGGTGCTGAGAAAGATACCTTCCATTTTTCTTGCTTAAATTCCCTAACCTTCTTTGCTTCTTTGGAAAACTTCTTTCAACATCCTCTCCAGCTTTTGCAACTAGTGTGGTTACCACAGGGTTTAAAAATTTCCAGTTGGTCCATTGGATGGCCTATCTGGCACCCACAGCTTTCTCTTCCACCCACAGGAACTGGATCGGGCCCAGAGGCCGGTCATGAAAAGAAGAAGTCGTGCCCATGGCTGTGCAGCACTTCCAACAATAGACCTTGTTTATGCCCTTTTGCTGTAACTCGTGTGCCAAATTGAGCCGCTGGTCTCCCGACTTGCCCACAGACAGGTACAAACGGACAGGCCTTGAAAAGAGGGCTCAAAGAGGCCTTGAGAAGGGCCCAGGCCGACAGTTGACCGAAAAGTCAACAGTCAACTCGTGGACCCAGGTCCAGATCCGAGAAGTCAACAACAAAGATTTCCTGGCCGTTGATCTGGAATAATCTAACAGTTGTCTGCAGATTCCGGAAGATTCAGGCCTAGAGGAGTCCAGACCGAAACTGGGACTGATCGGATGATCCGGGCCCTCACATGGACCGAAGCTGACCATGAACAGCGCGAGTCAACACTATGAAAGGTTGACCTCGCCACTGCTCGACATTCAGTCCTGGGAGTTGCTTGAGGCTACGACACTGCGCGTGAGACTGGAGAGGAGATGCTGACGCCAGACTGCTGAATGGGCGCCAGCCAGATATCATAGTAGTGAGATAGGGAGAGGACAGCCAAGACCGCGACCATAGATGACGGCGAGGGAATGAGGAGAGGAGAGAGAGAGTGTGGGTGATGTGAGTCGTCGTGCGCACGTACCTGGTTTCTTTGGATGTGAAGCCGCTGCCAATTCTGCTCACTGTTGGAGGATCGTTCACCTGCGAGAAGCTGCTTCCACATTGTCCACGTGTTACACGGAGTGCTGACGTGGCACATTGAAGTGCATATTGCTGATGTGGCACATTGAAGTGCATATTGCTGACGTGGCACATTGAGTGCATATTGCTGATGTGGCACATTGAGTGCGTATTGCTGGTGTGGCACATTGAGTGCATATTGCTGATGTGGCAGAGGTGGGGAGCCTGAAGGAGAAGCGGGACCTATATTTCTCCTTCCAACTGTCTATTCTTCCCTCCTCTCTCTTCTTCTCTGTGGACTTGAGACATAACGTGGTAATGAGGGAACCTGTACTTCAATGACTTCAAACTGATGGAATTATTGGATTGATTAGCTCATGGCATTGGACGACATTGTTATCTGCGACATGATTGGATGACAAGACTGGGTTCATTACAGCTTGATGATTATGGTGCATCTTAGACTTCTTCCTTTGTACCAACCACTCTCTTTCATGTTATGGAGCTCGAGTGGTCAGTTCTGTGGCTGCTGGGATGAGTATCTGTCATCCTGTGGCTGTCTAAGGGTGTACAAGGTCCACACTGGCCCACAGCCATACTTGCATCTGCACATGTGCACTGTGCTGCCTTTGACACGGTGTGGTGCGGAAACATCAGCTGCAGCGCATTGAAGAATAACATTTCACAAATTTAGAATTTCATACATTCCGAGAGTGCTTCCCAGAATGGATATGGAAAAAAAAAAAAAAAAGAATGAGATGTAACCGGGCCCATAACGTCCGGTTTAAGCAAAGAAAAGGAAAAAAGATGTGCGGGGTCCGGCTTCAGATGGGTGTTGTTGAAACCCTCTACGCCTTTTGGTCCCATTCAGTGTCCTTCTTCGGTAACTTTCATCATCATCATACAGTTAAGCTTCAGTAGTTGAGAGCCGTGGCGACCAAAGTGCCCTGGTGGTGAGGGAAAATGAATTGGGCCAGGGGCTGGCTGGTTGGTAAATTTAGAACCCTGCCCCTACATGTACCGGCGGAGGACGTTCTGCAGTTCCTCAAAGTACTCGAGTTTCAAATGCAATAGCATTCTTTTGGAATCTATCCTCTACGGTCTACCAGATGCAGTCGTTTAGTGGAGTGATAATTTTGCAAAAATGGAGCTAAAGCTTCCACACACGCTTGACCCGCAATAGTAACAACAACATTTTGTTTGGTGTTACTTTGGTGATGGTCTGGTTTGGCAGATCGACTCACTGGAGGCGTTCACACTCCAGCCGGAGGAGTACTCGTTGTTTACAGCATTTCCGAGGAAGGAGTTGGCCCGTCAGGATTGGGGCGGAAAGTCTCTAGAGGAGGGAGGGTTATGCCCGCAGTCCCTAGTCATTGTGGATAAGAGGGAAGCCAAGAGTTCGAGTCCGAGCACACTTTCTTGAGGACAACTTGCAGCTACCAATACGATGTGGAAATGCGCCGAGTTCACTCTTCTTCTGATGTATTATTCTTTTTTTATTCTAAATTTGTAATTAGTTTGTATCAATTGGATTGTGAAGGAAAGTCCGTGTCTATTCAAAACGTGTTCTTCGCTTCCCATCTCGAATCTCGAATGGTTGTCCCAAAGTCTTGTGATGCTTTTATTTCGCTCAACCGACTTCAGCCGTTGAAATGAAATAAAAGACATTGTGTAACTGCAGGCTGCAACAGATGCTGGTCAATCAAGGAATGACTGCCGTGACACTAACAATATTATGAGAGGCCAGATTGTTTACGGTCGTATTCACTGAAGATGACTAAGCTGGTCCTAAGACTCCTAACCTTCACTCATGTGGATTAATTATAATAAGCTGGTCCCAAATCAAACACCAAGGATTTGCTTCGCTCAAAGGCCGGAAGCCAAGAAGACGCCGGCACATATAGTCAATGAAATAAATCTCTAGGTGCTGAATGGGAGAAAGCAGCTCAGCTTGCGATGCGCAGTTACAGAAAGCAAATCCATTATCCAAATGTTAGTTTGTCCTCCTTACCCACTTGTCCTCTTACCCAGGAAAAGACTACGTTTTTTATTATGTACAGCGTTTTTTCAACTTTGTTTCTCTCTCTCCCTCCCTCTGGCTGTGTGGCCGTCCAGGTGCATTGCTCTCTTTCTGTCAGGCATAACATAATTTCCATGTCGCACCTCCTGCCTGCTTTGTCACTGCCTTGTTGACCATGAGTAGTCTGCACCAGTTTCTCTTGCTTTGTGGCTCTGAACTGTTCTCTCTCTCTCTCTCTCTCTCTCTCTCTCTCTCTCTCTCTCTCTCTCTCTCTCTCTCTCTCTCTCTGTGTGTGTGTGTGTGTATGGTAAGACTTCAGATGTGTGGAAAACAGGGAAAGTGGAGAGACTTGGCAGGACTTGAATCACGTAGGAAGGGCCATCATGATCGTTCTTTGCAATGTCTAAAACAGTCCAGGGACCGAACGATGGTGGAGTCAACTTCGGTGATACGACCTGCTCTGGCACGAGCTACGACAATCTAACCCAAGCTCTGTCACCTACATGAAACGTGGATGCCCGTCTGTGCTTATGTTCTGATTCTTTCACCGCCCTTTGTGCTTTCTGTAACTGTTAAACAGTCTGTTCCATCTGTTTCTCGTACTGAAGGATGGACACATTCAACCGTCACAGGGGCTAACTGCAGTTTGGAGTCTGGAAACAGGAAGTCACGTGGTGTACCATCCCAAGTACAGGCCGCCTGGTGGCTGAGCGTATAGCATTATTAATTACACAGGACAGAGGCTGCTGAGGCAGTCTGGTCAAGTGGATCAGGAGAAATGCAATGCCGCAGAGGCTGTTATATCTGCTTGTCTATCTGCTCAGCCTGTCCGTCAAATGCAGGGTGGTTCCCTGATGTCATCTCGAGTTCTTCAGCAAGGTTCTGCCTCTGTTTACTGGTGAACCTGACATCTTCATTCGAGCTATTGAAGCGTACCTCCTACCAGCTTCTAGATCAATTGGGGAAAAATATTGTAAAACCAGGTAAGCCATTCATTGTCACCACTGACGCCAGCCAGTTTGGGATAGGCATAGTGTCACTGCAAGCAGACCGGATTTAATTCGATGCAACGTGCGAAACCTTACCAGTCCTTGACATATGAAAGAAACTTCTTGTAAGAGTGGGATGTACTTCGACTTCATACACGTGCTGCATGGCTGTCGTCAGCTCACGTTGTGAGGTGTCGGGTCAAGTCCTATAACAAGCGCAACCCTCCTTTCGTCTCGCTAAGACATCGCAGTGATGTGCTGCATTCATGACGAACTGCGAGTGATATACTGGAGGAAGGTGGGGATGACGTCAAGTCGGCATGGCCCTTATGGGCTCGGCTGCACATGTGCTACAATGGCAATGACAATAGGGAGCAAGGCTATAAGGCGGAGTGAATGCAGAAACATTGCGTCAGTTCGGATCGTTCGTTGCAATTGGCTAACATGACGTTCAAATCGCTAGTAATTGCAGGTGCCGTCTGAGAAATTACACGGCCACTTATGAGAAGGAACTCTATGGTCTCTATATGGCTGTGAAACACAGGAAGCACTGTCTCCGTGGCAGACATTTTGAAGTAAAGCCTGCCCATGGGACTCTTCAGTGTATCAAAATGTGGCCCACATTGTTTGAACTGCTGAAGCGCACTGGGTGCCATTCGTTGACATGTTTGACTTCACACTGAAGCACGAGAAAAGGCAGTGCAATGTGGTTGCTGATGCGCTATCACGGAGCACTGACTTTCTAGGTGCAGTTGTGACTCAATCTAATCTAGACCGGCATCAGCCGTTCGTATCAGCAAGACAGTATTCTCAGTGAAATCTTCAGATGTATGGACACACAATATAGAATGTGAGTGAAGACTACAGGGTGATAGAGGGATATCTCTTCTTGAGCAAGGACGGGATAGGAAGACTCTGTACACCTGATTCTGAACCTCTTAAACCACCAGTACATCTGGGTCTGGAGGCACCGCACTGCGCGGCAAGCTTTTCCGAACCACCAGACTTTTCTTTTTTCGCTGGTGTAGCCAGCCATTGTGTCCCGGTAGGCCCAAGGTGCAAAATTTTCGGAGTAGGCCATGAAGCATTTTCATGGGGCCACGTACTGGCGGTTTAAGAGCCTGTTTTCAGGAGAGTGCCATGATGCTGCAGGTCACGTTTACAGTGGTTTTGGTGACCAGGCATGACGAGGGATGTCCAGGGCCCAGGTGTATGTTCAGAGTTGCCAGGGTTGCCAGAGGAACAATCCTAGGAGCCCAGGACACAGGCCCCTCTAGGCTTAGAAAAGCCGCTTCCCATAACTGAGGGACCACGTGAATCCCTGGGCATGGACTTCATGGACATGCAGGGAATAAGCAGGTGTTAGTGATTATAAATAGGTTTTCTAAATAAGCAGCTATGGCTGCCCCAACGCACAACAGCTAAGCAGCAGATGCTCCTCACCTTCTCCTTTGTCAACGTCCTGGTCTGACCGCTCGCGCTGATGCAAAGCTTGTGACGATGCCCAGTACCTAGGAATGTGAAGTGGAATCGGACTCGACTTCAACTTCACTTCCAGCAAGCATACATACACATGTGGATGGCAGAAGAACCAGCAACGCAGAATCAGCAACCAGAGTGAGATGGAGCACAACACACACAAAAAAAAAACAGATATATGGCCTCTGGCCAGAACTCGGTATAAGTACACTTGTTACAGCTTGCAGCTATGGCGTCTAATCGGCTCTGTAGTCCCACCCGTCCACTGTATCCACCATCAGACACACTCGCACTCGTGCACACACGCACTACGATCTACCCTGAATGTCCCACGCGCGTCACACACACACACTTCTGTTCTACACACTCTGTTGACGTCAGCAGCTTGGCGGCTCTGGCCACCATCGTGTTTCTCCTGTAGGTAGCTATGACCGTCGTTGTCCTCCTCTTCCCACTTCGTCTTCGGGCACCTGCGGACCTCCTTGCACAAGTCGCACTAGCAGCCCTCGGCATGGCCCACAGGCGAATGAATGAATGGCTGAGCGCTGCCTCTTTATTTATACTGTTTTGACGGTGGTCTGGTTGGCCTCTGGTCCCAGGCCCAAGGTGTGAGCAGCCCCACCTGGTACTTGCTGACTAGACAAGGTGCACTGGGACTGAGACTGGGACTGGACTGTGCTTTGCTGATTCATCAATGGACGACTGACTCCTACGACTTCGAAAGGTCAAGTTGATGACTCTAGAGCCCCCTAGGAATCGACTAACTGACCCTTCACAATACTTAGGGCTAACCTCCCCCTCGCTGACTCAGCTCCTACTGACTTCTAGAAACTCCTAGGCCTAGACTGACTGACATTTCGTAGGACTTGGAGCTAACCTATGCCACAGATTGTAGGACTGCTAAAACGGAAACTCATGGTTCAAGTCCATGCGACCAGACAGGGCACACATATTGTCGGCAGACGACCTTCGGTCAGGTTGTGGGATCAAGGCACGCAGGGTCAACGAGTACTGTACATGGGGATAGGGGTTAGATCAAGGGATCGAGCCCTGGGATCTGCAAGTGTCACACGGACTGGGTGAAACCGTTTCACTCCCGCCGTCCTAAATTCGACTTCCTTCGAGAATTCTCTAATCCAAGGCAGGACCTTTACCCTTTCTTGCCCTCTCGTAGGCATGCACTATGTCGGGAGTTGTCTCTATAAGCTCAGTTCTGGTGAACTGTCTGTCGTCCTCAGGTTCCTGATAAGCAAACCTAACTTTATATTGCTTCTGGGGACGACCCCAATCTCCAGCCCTAAAGACGTCTTCTTCTACTATCTGATCGTTGTCGTATGTGCCATCCAAATCTGGCAGGATCATAGATCTCCGTGAAGGAAATTGTTCTCGGGTCATACATGGCAACAACTTTGACGCATGGAAGATGGGATATGTATGGACGTGCGGTGGTATCTCTATGGTGTACGATGGTCCGTCCTCTCCTCTGCCTTTTAGGACAGGCCATGACCCTCCGTACGGGGGCAAGAGCTTTTGCAAGATGTTTTCTTTTGGCGCGAATTCCTTTGACTTGACCCAGACTAGGTCGCCTTCCGGGAATTCCTAGTCCCCGTACGGAGGGTCATGGGCGCGAACTCCTTTGACTTGCTGCAAAGCAAACTCCCTAGTACTGGGAAGCAATCTCTAAATCTGGTTTCCGGTTCAAATGGCCTACGTGGTCCAAAGGACTTATGCAGCTCGTTAGGAGTTCGGCAGGTAGCTAGGTGTACACTATTGTTATAAGCGCTAGCTACCTTGGGAAGCATCTCATCCCAATTCACTTGATCGGGTCTAACATACATTTTGAGTAGCTGCTGCAAGATCTGCTCTGTCTGGTCATTCGTATCTAGATGACGACCTGAGAACATCAACAACTTATAGCCGTAAACTGTCATAAGAGCCTGCCAGTTCTGACTGGTAAACCGCATGTCTCGTTCACTAACTATGGACAACGGTATGCCATGCTCGCTTACCCAGAAGTCGAAGAATTTCTCTATCACTAAGTTAGTTCGTGACTTTGAAGTCAATGGGACGAAAACTGCGTATTTGCTAAAACGGTTTGCTATGAGCATGACTTGTTTTTTGCCATGCCTACTTGCCCTTGGTGTCCATGAAGTCGATGGAAACTGATTCTCCGGGTCCTGCGGGAATAGGCAAGGGTCTGAGGAGACCTAGAGGTGCTCGTGTCAATGTCCTTTTGCGCTGGCAAACTTTACAACTGCGAATATACTCTATGCAATTTGTTTTCATGCCAGGCCGTGTGTACGGCATCATGAAATTGGCCAGAGTCTTTTGCCAGCCAAAGTGTCGTTCCGTATCATGGCATTCCCCTAAGA